GGCTAGCCTTGAACTCACAGAGATCTAGACTGATTTTGTCTCCTAAGTATGGCAATTAAAGATGTGCACCACTATGCCTGGCCAAAACAAAACAAAAACAAACAAAAAAAGCGTTAAAAATGAAAGTAAAAGCAGGAAGATTACAAGTTCAGTGTCATCCTGAGCTACACAGTGAGTTTCAGACCATCCTAGGGTACTGTCTCAAATAAGAGACTGCAAAAAAAAAAAAAAAAAGAAAAAAAAAAGAAAAAGAAAAAAAAGTATAAAAGGCATTGCAACAGGACACATTTAAAGTTATCAAGACAACTTCTGAAATCACAGAAATAGTTGGAGAAATCTGGGATGCCAAAATTAAGAAAACCTTAAGATACCATGACATGCAAACTTGTACAGCCACATGGAAATCAGTATGGCAGTTCCTCAGGAAGCTGGGAATAGATCTACCTTAAGATCAGGCTATACCACTCTTGGGCATCTACCAAAAGGACTCTACATCCTGTGACAGAGACACTTACTCACCCATGTTCATTGCTGCCCTATTCATAATTGCCAGAAACTGTAAACAATCTAGATGTCCCTCAACAGATGACTGTGATAAAGAAAATGTGGAACATTTACACAATGGAATATTACTCAGCCGCTAAAAAATCAAAACAACAAAAAACAAACAATGAAATCATGGAATTTGAAGGTAAATGGAAATAACTAGAAAAAAAATCATCCTGAGGCAACCCAGACCCAGAAAGAGAAACATGGTATGTATTCTCTTGTATATGGATATTACCCGTTAAGTAAATATTAACCAAGCTACAATCCATAGACCCAGAGAAGTTAAGTATGGAGGAAAGGGCTAGGGGGAGACACATGGATCTTCCTGACAGGGAAAATAGAATAGATAGTTATAGATGGAGGGGGCAACTGGAATGGGGACATCAAACAGGGAGGGCGAGGGAAGAGTAAGATAAAGGAGAGACTGTGGTGGTCTGAAAGAAAATGGCCCCCAAAGGGAGTGGCACTGTTAGGAGGTGCAGCCTTTTAGGAGTAGATGTGGCCTTGTTGGAGGAAGTGTGTCACTATGGAGTCAGGCTTTGAGGTCTCATATATGCTCAAGCCACACCCAATGAGACAGTTCACCTCTGTTGCCTGTGGATCAAAGATACAGGGTTCTCAGCTCCTTCTCTAACACTATGTCCTGTCTATCTGCATACCGTCATGTCCAACCATGATAATGGACTGAACCTTAACTGTAAGACAACTAATGAAATGTTTTCTTTTATAAGAGTTGCCAAGGTGCCAGGCGGTGGTGGCTCACACCTTTAATCCCAGCACTCAGGAGGCAGAGGCAGGCGGATCTCTGTGAGTTTGAGGCCAGCCTGGAGTACAGTGCGAGATCCAGGATAGGCACCACAAACTACATAGAGAAACTGTCTCAAAACACAAAACAAAACAAACAAACAAAAAAGAGTTGCCATGGTCATGGTGTCTCTTCATAGCAATAGAAACCCTAACTAAGACAGACAGCTAAAACTAACAGTGATTTGAGGGGTCATATGGAAAATGAATACAGTAGAAGCTCCTTAAGATATTTAATTATATGGATATATATATATATATATATATATATATATATATATATGTGTGTGTGTGTGAATGGAATCGCCAAATAACTGGGAGACAAAGCTGCAACTACAAATCTCTTGTCACTAAATGAAACTTCAAGTTTTGAGAATGGGTTACATCTAATCAAGTTGTTAGACAAGAGCTTCATGGAAACCCCCAAACCCAGGCTATTGGTTGCTCTCCAGAAACTGATAGTAAGGCCTTATTGTTGAAAGCAATACCTACATAACTCACTGAACACGGAGAAGTTGAGCTGGCACCTACTTAGAACCTTCACTCCTACTGACCAGTGTTCCTGGTACTGGAAGATAACTCTGCCATCCTACCAAAGGAAAAAGGTAACCACCAACCCAGCTACAAACACTCCAGTCTACAATGGTGACCTTTGGTAAGATACATTGGTGTAATAGTGGACAAGGTTTTTGGGTAACCAACCAGTATCTGACTGGATTGAAGGCCTACTCCATGAGATGGAACCCATGCCCAACACTGCTCAGATGGCCAAGAACTTAAGACTAGACAGGCCATGGACTTGGGTGAAAACCAAATACTACTGTTCTGCTAAAGGAATGCAGCAATAAAACAACTCCTAACAACATTTGGCTATACTTAAAGATCAGTGTCTTGCTCAGCCATCATCAGAGAAGCTTCCTCCTGCAACAGATGGGAACAGAGACCCACACCTGGACAATGTGCAGAGAGGGAGAGAACTTGCAATTCTCAGGCCTAAACAGGATGCCTCCATCAAATTCTTCCTCTCAAGAGATTGAAGAACACTAAGGTCTTCTAAACACAGAAGGAATGACACACATATAAACTCACAGAGACTGTGGCAGCATGCACAGGTCTAAGCCAGATCACATCTGTCCCAGTGCTGAGAGGTTAAGTGGACACAAGCCCCCATCCCAAAAGCTGTTCCCAAATGTTAACTGCTCCCAAAGGAAAAATTCGTTTTCTCCAATGGAGTCTCACTGGGCATACAAACCACTCTTAAGGTCAGATTCCATGCCCAGCAGTAGATGGCCAACACAAAACAAAACCAACTGCATTATTGGAGAGTTGTTTTTGCCCCATCTTAAAGGTCTTCACATATATATTGGTTTCCAATTTTGTGTTTTTTATGGGATTTCTGTGTGTGACTGTGCCTCTTTCTGTTTTTTTTTTTTTTTTTTTTTTTGGTTTTTTGAGACAGGGTTTCTCTGTGTAGCTTTGCGCCTTTCCTGGAGCTCACTTGGTAGCCCAGGCTGGCCTCGAACTCACAGAGATCCGCCTGGCTCTGCCTCCCGAGTGCTGGGATTAAAGGCGTGCGCCACCACCGCCCGGCCTGTGCCTCTTTCTGAATGTATGTTTCTTGTGCTTTTTCTTTAGCTCTTTTTCTTCTGTATGTTTGTTTATTTATATTACATCTTATTTTTTATTGTTACTTTTTAGGTGCTTTTTTTGATTTTGTTTGAGACAGGGTCTCAATATATAACTATGGCTGTCCTGGAACAGCCTAGAGCAGGCTGGCCTCAAAATCACAGAGATCCCGAATGCTGGGATTAAAAGCATGTGCTACTACCTCCATCTGAATGGGAGGGGAGGTGGGGAGGAAGGAGCTGGGGGAGGGAAACCTTAATTAGAATATATTGTATGAAAAAATTATTTTCAATTAAAAAATAGGAAAAAATGAATGAAAACTTATGACAGAAACTTTTACAACATCTCCTCCCCCGCCCCTGCATCTTCAAAATTTTAAATGTTGTGGTTTAATCCTTGTACATTAGCGGCTAAAGGTGGATAGCATGAGTTCCAGGGCAGTCTGAACTATACAGCCAGACCATATTATCAGAAAGGGTGTGTGGGGAAATGTGGAGCTAGGGATATAGCTCAGTGGTAGACTGACTTCCAATAAAAAGAAAACAAACAACAACGACAAACCAACCAAACAGAAAACAAAACAAAATCCTACAATTATCAAGTAATTTAAGATGTCTGAGTCTTAAAAATCAATTAAAGGCATAAAGGGGACTCCAAGATGGCTCAGCATGAAAGGACACTTGCTACTAAGCTTGACAACCTGAGTTTGATTCCTGGAATGTATATGGTAGAAGAATTGCCTACTACAAGTTGTCTTCTGCTATAAACCATGAAAGTGCTGCCCTTCTATACAATAAAAATGTACAAGAGTAGCAGCTGTACCCCAGGCACTGCCCAAAGCCCAACAAACAATACATAAAACACCAACTAGGAAGAGATGATTGTTATGAGTATCTATGGGAAGTCATAATGGTGCCTGACTAAATGAAGTTTCTTATGCACCATACTGAGAAAGGACAGAGTATGACATACCATCCAGACCTATAGAGGCAAAAACAGAGTGACAGGAGGCTGGCATGTAAGTAAGCAAAAGTGTTAGCCACAATACTTATTGAAATATCTGCCAGGAAGGAAAAGCATGGCTGGAAAAAAATTTTAAGATCAATTATTTTGAATTATTCTAATGAGTAAGAATACAGATGATGCCTTTTCCTCTTCAGCTTTGATCTACATTGATTTAGGACATGGGACATACAGGCTTGGTGGGTTCCCAGAAAAGAACAGGGTTTGGGACTCTGGATTGGTTGATTTTCTTTTTAAGAAGATTTCATTATTTATGTGTCTGTATGTGCACATGGATATCCAGAGACCAAAAGAGGGAGTCTGATGCCTTGGGGCTTGAGTTACAGGCAGTTGTGCACATCTCAATGTGAGTGCAGGGAATTAAACTCTGGTCCTCTGTAATAGCAGCAAGTTTACTTAACCACATAGCCATCTCTCCAGCCTCCGATTGTTTTGAATATGAAAAGTATGGGCCAGTGAGATGGCTCAGTGAGTATAGGTGCTTGCCAAGCCATGCCTGACAACCTGAGTTTTATCCCTGGGACCCACATGGTAGAAGGATTGAACTCCTGAAAGTTGTCTTCTAATCTTCATATGTGCACTGTGACACGTAGGCTTATCCCACTCCCAACACACATACACACAGAAAACAACCACAAATTTAAAATGACCATAAAACATATGTTCCAAGCATTTGAGCTATTTGTAATCTTGAGGAATTACCAGAACCTGGGAGGGATTGTATTGTATTATGATTTGTATCTGAAATGTACTCCAGAAGTTCATATACTGAAGACTTGGTCCCCAGGGCTGTAGTGTTCACAGTGTGGGATATAAGAGATACCTGGATCATGAGGGCTCTGGCTTCATCAACGACTGATCCATTTATGGATTCACAGCTTCATGTGTTTTGGGGAAAGGACTTTGCTAGTTTGCTTGCTTGCTTGCTGCTTATTTATTTATTTTTTATTTATTTATATCACCTTTTACCTAAAAGTTGTGAAAGAGGAACAAGGACATTTTAAAGACCATGAGAACTGTATTATGAAATTTAGCTACTGTAAGTTATTATAGGATAGCATGTTTAATAGTATGATAAGCCAACTAGAGAATCTACACTATACTAAAACCATGTTTATATTCCAAAAGTCCTCATATCACCAGCTTGCTACCCAGAAGTTGTAACAACCAAGATGAAATGGTGCTTAGAGGAAAGAAAATATATCACTCTAGGAATATCAGGACAGATATCAGGAGTTCAAAAGAAACAATATCATCCAACAGACCTTACTGCTGCCAGCAATACTACATTTCAGGGCACATGGACAAACTTTCCATAGAGTTGATTTCTCTTGGGTATGAATTATAATGTTTACTAAACACTGAGGATTAAGTTCATGTGACTTTCTAACATGCTTTACCTTCAAAGTTTTCTCAACTGTTGGAACAAATGAATTAAAAATACTTAGCAGAACTACAACCTTCTATATGTCTTACATCAGTGTATTTCCCTTCATTGTGAAGTCTCACATATTTAATAAGTTCCTAGGAAATAGTATGGGCTTTAATATTTCTTTCCTTACATTCATGGGACATCTTGAGTATGGGTTCTTTCATGTTTTCAAAATAAACTGTCATAAATGGGGGCTGTTCCACATTAGTTTCTTAAAATTCTAAGTTCCAGTATGATGGAATCAAGACACGAGGGATTAAGGATTTTTGGCATTCTTCCTATCTGAAGTGATTCTGTTCACTGGGAGTTACTAGTGTTTGGTTAGTAGGTAAAGTCTGCTGTAGGCTTCCCTACATTCTCAACAAAAGGTTTCTCTCTGTTGTGGATTTTTACATGGTGAATGAGGTTAGAGGATGAAGTGAAGGTTTTCTCACATTCCGTACACTCATAGGGCCTCTCACCAGTGTGAGTTCGGATATGTTCAGTTCGGCTTGAGGAAGTAGTGAAATCTTTCCCACAGTACTTACACTTATAGGGTTTTGTTCCAGTGTGAATACGAATGTGTTTAGTAAGGTATGAAAAATATTGAAAGGATTTCCCACACACATCACATTCAAATGGCTTTTCTACTGTGTGAGTTTTTAAATGGTCATGTAGCAGATTGTACCTACGATAGGCTTTCCCACAGTCTTTACACTCGTAGGGTTTGTCTCCAGTATGAATGGTCAGATGTTTGCGTAAGTATGAGGAGTTGAGGAAGGCTTTCCCACATTCCTTACATATACATGGTCTCTCCCCACTGTGAGTTCTTAAGTGTCTACGCAGGTATGAGGAAGCATGGAAGACTTTCCCACATTCACCACATATATGAGGCATCTCTCCACTGTGAGTTTTTCTTATATGGTTATGTAGGTATGAGGAATTGAGGAAGGCTTTTCCACATTCCTTGCATATATAGGGTCTTTCTCCACTGTGAGTTCTCACGTGTCTACGTAGATTTGAGTAAGAATGGAAGGCTTTTCCACATTCTCCACATATATAGGGTCTCTCTCCACTGTGAGTTCTTCCTATATGGTTCCGTAGGTATGAGGAAGTGAGGAAGGCTCTTCCGCATTCCTTACATATGTAAGGTCTCTCTCCACTGTGAATTCTTATATGCTGACTAAGGCGCGGGGATGAAGCAAAGGCTTTCCCACACTCTTTACATGCAAAGGGCTTCTCTGAAGCATGGGTTGATATATGTGTTATAAGGCCTGACCTCTTAGCAAAAGCTTTCCCACAGTCCTTGCATTTGTATGGTTTCTCTCCAGTATGAGTTCTAAAATGTTCCACTAGTCTTGAGTAGGTAGTGAAGGCTTTCCCACATTCCTTACATTCATAGGGTTTTTCTCCAGTGTGACTTCGTAAGTGTCTATTAAGATTTGAAGAACGTCCAAAGGCTCTTCCACAAATCTTACATGGATACGTTTTTATGGTGTGCACTTGAACAGAGGCATCAGGACTTGAGTGAGTAAAATGTTCAGTGTTGCAAGTACTGTGAGTTTTCATATGTGTCTTGAAATATGAATGCTCACTGAAGATTTCTCCACATTGTATATAATAACAGAGTTCTTGTGCACTATGGCTTCTGACCTGTTGATAAAGGGATGATTTATGGTTAGAAAAATTTTTAGACCTATTGAAGGACTCCATTAAGTAAGGGCAGAAAAATTATGATTATATTTGCCATTTTGACTACATCCAAGACTCCTATCCTAAAGTCTAGAACCATAAGTTTTAATTTGGAAAGATGCCTCAGTATTTTAGTATTTTTTTAAATATTTTTTTAAAACTTTATTTTATGTGCATTGGCGTGAAAATATCAGATACCAGGGAACTGGAGTTACAGACAGTTGGAGCTGCCATGTGGGTGCTGGGAATTGAACCTGGGTCTTCTGGAAGAGTAGCCAGTGCTCTTAACCGCTAAGCCATCTCTCCAGCCCCTGAGCCATATCTCCAACCCCATAGTTTTATTTTTGAGACAGGGTCTTACTATGTAGCCATGGCTGGCCTGAAGCCCAATATGTAGAGAAGGCTAGCTTTAAACTCACAGAGATCCACTTGCCTTTGTCTTCTGTATGCTGGAATTAAAGGTATGTGCCAGCACACCTGATCTCTTGCCCTTTTTCTTCTTTCTTTCTTTTTTTTTTTTTTTTAGAAGATGTCTCTCTCTTAAATAGCTCTAGCTCTCCTAGAACTTGATATGTAGACCAGGCTAGCCTCAAACTCAGAGATCTACCTGCCTCTGCTTCCCAAGTGCTTGGATTAAAGGTGCGCACTACCACGTCTGGCTTGGCCTCAGTATTTTAATGAAATTATTTTAAGAACCTCAGAAATCAGTAATATATATGCAGGAATGTGTACTTAGAAGGATTCTATCACCCCAAGTTTTGGTCTACACTCTAAGACATTTCTCTTAATAGGATGGATATTACTTCTCTTATGTATTTATCATTTGTGTTGATTTTCTACAAAATTCCCAATCTTTTCTGAGTGTGGTAAATAAGAAATCTGGTTAATATCATCAACACTGTTCTCTCCTGTTGATAAAGGAATGAATTATGAAGTATGTTTAACTTTTTTATAGCATGTTTAGAATTTCTGCCATGTTTTCTTTTTCTTTTACTTTTTTAAAAGATTTGTTTACTTAATGTATGTTGGTATGAGGGTGTCAGATCCTCTAGAAGTGGAATTACAGACAGCTGTGAGCTGCCATGTGGGTGCTGGGAATTGAACCCGGGTTCTCTGGAAGAGCAGTCAGTGCTCTTAACCTCTGAGCCATCTCTCCAGGACCCCCCCCCCCCCCCCCCCCCCCCTTTTTTTTTTTGTTTTTTTGAGACAGGGTTTTCTTGTGTAGCTTTGTGCCTTTCCTGGAACTCACTCTGTAGACCAGGCTGGCCTCAAACTCACAGAGATCTGCCTGCCTCTGCCTCCCACATGCTGGGATTAAAGGTGTGCGCCACCACAGCCCAGCCCCATGTTTTCTTTCAAACTGAAAAATGCAACAGTAGTTTCCATTTGGGTTAAGCTCAAAATAATTGTTAGGATATCAAAGCTAGTATCTAGTTATACATGTGGGGCCATGTACTTGTGGAATTTCTTTCTTTTTTTTAGTTATACTGGGTGAGGTATGTAGATCTCACTGAGTTTGAGGTCTTCCTTGTCTACAGAGTGAATGAATACCAGGCCAGCCAGGCCTATGTGAGATCCTGTCTCAAATAAATAAAATAAACAAATAAAATTACATTTATTTATTTTGGAGGGGAGAGTGCATACAGCAGTGGTAAGAGGTAAGAGGCCAACCTGTGAGAGTCAATTCTCTCCTCCTACCATGTGGGTACTGTGGATCAAACTCAAGTTGTTGGACTTGAAATCAAGAGTTTTTACCCACTGAGCCAGCCTGGCCAGAGGGATCTCTTTCTCTCTCTCTCTCTCTTTTTTTTTTTTTTTTTTTAAGATTTATTTATTATATATACAGTGTTCTGTCTGACTATATGGCTGCAGGCCAGAAGGGGACACCAGATCTCATTACAAATGGTTGTGAGCCACCATGTGGTTGCTGGGTATTAAACTCAGGACCTTTGGAAGAGCTGAGCCATCTCTCCAGCCCCCAGAGGGATCTCTTAAAGAATAGGTTTTATGATAGGTTTGGGACACCCAAAAATTCCTTATATTCAAAATACTTCTAAGATACACTGCTGCTCCCTCCTGGTGCATGCTATTTGGTTTTCTCTACCGCCTATGAATGAGGGAAATAAATATCGCTGGCCAATCTTACTGTTTGCATTCCACTGGAAGTCTGTCCCCTCAAAAAATCCTGGCGCAATGTTGACTCTTTGGTGCCAAGTGGCATTTCCCATTCTGAAGATAAACAGAAAAACAAAATTAAGAGTTGGAGAAAAATAAATGGTCAGTTACAAAGTTAAAAGACATACAGGTTTTTTGATTGTTCCCACTGAACCTGGCTAAGAAGAAAGAAAAGTGTGGTCATTTTGACCAAGTCAATAAAATGACTATACTAAGGATGTGAGTTTTAAATGTTTTATTTCAAACTGACTCTTTGAAAATTAAAACTCATGGCAAACAAGAACTATACTATTAGGGCTTCGAAGTAGCAAAGATCTGAGCAAAGAGTATATAAGACCATAAACATAAAACACAATAGGTCATTTTGCAAAATTATAGGAAAACCTGAGAAGCCAAAAAAATAAGTCTATGAAGCAGAGGCTTTCGTACCTTTTCAGGTACATGGCCCCCACACAAAGCCATCAAATGCATCTTTAAAAGATTTCACTTTAATTCTAAACACATTCTTCACACACACTCACCTTGGAGATCTTCTCTGTGCAAATCCTCTTCTTCCAACCAGGAGATCAGACTGGGTTTGATGACCTCACATCCTTATACAAGGCAAAGTGCATTCATGGAGGAAGTTCATGCAAAAGAGTATAAACGTCAGTATAATTCAGGAGCTGTTTGTTTTTTGTTCTGTTCTGTTTTGCTTTGTTTTTGGACAGAGTATCACTATGTAGTCCTAGAACTCGATATGTAGACCAGGCTGGCCTCAAACTCACATAACACTGCCTGTCTTCCTCCTGAGTACTTTGATTAAAGGTATGTGCCTTGGGCTGGAGAGATGGCTCAGCGGTTAAGAGCACTAGCTGTCTTCCAGAGGGCCCGGGTTCAATTCCCAACACTCACAACTGTCTGTAACTCCAGTTCTAGGGCATCTGACACCCTCACACCAATGCACACAAAATAAAGTTAAATAAATTATTTAAAAAATAAAGAAAGGTGTGTGCTACCATGCCAGGACATGAAGCTGTGCTTCTAATGAAAACAGGGCAATTATTTCAGAGAGCTTAAACAAGCAAATACTGCCTCTTCTATGCCCTGGTGATTAATTACTGAACTGACACCCTAATTGATGATTATGTACAGTCTAAGAAAATACTAATACTTCAGGTCAAACAGAAAGTAAAGTGAAAGAAAGATAATTTTACTTTCAAACAGAGGCTACACAGCATCAGATTCATCTAGGTTAAACTCACATAATAGGATGTACTCTGAAGTTTTGACTTAGTATGTCAAAGGAAGAAAATGACAACATTTCTATATTCTTCTTTCTCTCACTTTTTTTTTGGGGGGGGCAGGGCAGTGCTGGGGATTATACACAGGGACTTGCATAGAACACCTAGCTACTTCCCAGCTCAATAAATTTGATTTTTAAAAATTTGTTTATTTTGAGACAGGGTCTCACTATGAGCTCTAGCTGTCCTGGAACTCATTATGTAGACCAGGCTGGCCTTGAACTCACAAAGACACATCTGCCTCTGCCTCTCAAGTGCTGGGATTACAGCTCTGCACCACTATGTCGATCCAATAATTTATGTTTCTAACAAGGTGACTGGAAGCGATGCCAGTCACATGGTACAGCATTCTGCGAGCCACCACAGAAAATTAAAAGGCATAGTGGCCCCTACTTATTCAAGGTTTGGTTGTCTGTGGTTAGTTACACACTACCCACCTGTCCGGGAAATACTAAATATAAATTTCCAGAAAAGATTCATCTAAAATTGCACACCATTTTGAGTAGCATTATAGAGTCTCACACTATTCCTCTGTTCTGCCTTGGATGCCATCATCCTTTGCCCATCAAAGCCACACTCCATCTGCTACCTGCTCCGCGTCATTCAGCCCCTTTCTGAGTAGCCTGCTTGTTGCAATACAGTGAACCTTGCCAGACATGGTGGCTCAAACCTTTAATCTCAGCATTTGCACTTGGGAGGCAGAGGCAAGTGGATCTCTGTGAATTCAAGGCCAGCTTGATTTACACAATGAGTTCCGGTTCAGCCATGGCTAAATAATGAGACTGTCTCAAAACAAAACAAAAAACAATATAGCGACACTTACGGAGCTCATGGAGCTCTCATTTTACTAATGGCCTCAAGACAGCAGTAGTCATGATGGCAACTCAGATATGCCAAAGGAAGTTGTAAAGTGTGGACCGGAAACCTGCACGCTGAGGTTGATATTATCTTCTCTTTTTTTTTTTGAGACAGGGTTTCTCTGTGTAGCTTTGGAGCCTTTCCTGGAACTCACTTGGTAGCCCAGGCTGGTCTCGAACTCACAGAGATCCGCCTGCCTCTGCCTCCCAAGTGCTGGGATTAAAGGC